TTTTATTTAAAAAATACTAAATACAATTAAATTTTCCAGGCAAATTTGCCTGGAATACAGTTTAAGGAATAATAATTTTAAAAAAATCTTAAAATATCTTTAAAAAATCTTAAATAAATCTTAAAAAAATCTTATAATAGTCTTAAACAATAATCTTATAATAATTTTAAAGAATATCTATTTTCATAATAGTATATTAAAATATTCTATTTTTTTAAAATTAAAGTTTTTATTGTTAAAATTTGCTAGGCTTCTAAGGTTAAATTATCAAAATTGGCTTTGTAGATCCTAAGATAATTGAAGTTAAAAATATAAATATAAAGAAATTAATTTTTTAAAATTAAAGAAATTTTTAAGTTAGAGTTTATTGGGCTTCTAAGTAAAGTTATAAAGAATATTTTTTTGATTCTAATAGTAGTTAATTTATCAAAATTAGCCTAATAAATCTCAAGATATTTGGGATTAAAGATATAAATATAAGAATCTGCAAATTAATAATTATACAAAGTATTATAGCTCTAATAGTCTAATAAAATATAAAATTATTAACTTATTAATAACAAGCTAAAAATTAATAAATATATATTCTAAAAGACCAAGAAGTTAAAAATTTTTTATAGATTAAAAGAAATTATAAAAGATCTTAAACTAGTAGAAAAGGAAACTAAAATTGCAAATATTCTAACAGAAAAAGATAAATTTTTTAAAACAAAAACTATAATATTTTTACTCTAAAACAACTATTCAACTATAGCAGCAAAAGAATAATAACATAGAAGCAAATAAAACTGTGTAGAGAAATAAAAACAAAAAGAAAAAAACGAAGAAGTTCTAGAAACTAGAAGAAGAAGTGCTTAAAAATACTAGAACAAGAGTAATTAAAACAATATCAAAAAGAAGAAGAAAATAATATGAGTATAAATATAATTCTAGCTAAAATCAAGCCAGATAAAAACCTCAAAGAATGAATCTTGCTAGAAGAAAGAAAAGATATTTAAAATCAGAAGAATAATCAAAAAGTATAGCAAAAGAAAAATATTTAATATAAAATACTAGAAAGAATAAAAGACAGTGAAAGATGATAAATTTAGAATCTAACTATGCAAAGGCTATAAAAGAATAAGAATAAAGAAGAAGTTAGCTATTGTTTATTTATAAAACGTTTTTGAAATAATAAAAGAACATTAAAAAAGGCTGAATTAGTTAGTAGTGACTAATCAAGAAGATTACAAAATCAAGCTCAAACCAGAAATGCTAAGTTGAACCCAGTAAACCCAAATTAGGCTCACTTGAACCCAACCTGGGATCAAGTGAACCCATGTTAGGTTCACTTGAACCCAACTTGGGCCCAAATAAACCCAAGCCGGGTTTACTTGGATCCAAAACAGGTTTTTGGGTTTACTTAAATCAAACCTAGGTTTAAGTAAACCAAATCAGATTTATTTGAATGCAAATAATATAAAAAATTTAAAACCTTGCCTCTAGAGCATCGCTTGGGCCTGAGAGCCAGTTTTTTAATGGTAAGTTACGTTTAAATGATAGATTACATGATATCCATTTAGCTAATATATAACATAAAAAATATTGAACACTGTAAATCCGAATATTGACATCAAAAATACATAATTGATGTAATAAATTAAAATGAAACGTTATGTATAAAAAAAATACAAATTTTTGGGATACATGGGTTTTAGGGAGTTAAATAAATTTAATTTAATTTCATTTTAATCCGAGACAATGAATAAATAAATAATAAAATCAAACGATTATTTTTGTGGGAATTTTTCATTTATCAATTTCTCGGTATATTCCCAAAATCTTTTAGCTAAATCCTCATCTTGGGCATATGTGGACGATTCACATTCATTACCAAATGGTTCAAAATACTTTGCACGATAATTTTTCTGTTCGATTTCTGGACTTGTAGCACAATATAAAGTAGTGATAACACCATCTTCAGGTGAAATTGAATTAGTAAAGAACATGTCTGGTGCAGAAAAATGGTTTCTAGTCAACATGTTGGTATTAATGACGCCTAAATAAATATCAATAAAAAACATTATTAATTATTAATACAATTGTTTTAATTAAATTTGAAAATTTATTTATTATACCTGGATGAACAGAGTTAGCATATACTTTCGTTTCTTTAAGATAGCGTTTATTTAATTCAGTAGTAAATAAAACATTTGCAAGTTTTGATAAAGAATAACGTGCCCCTGGACCTTGAGCAGGATCATTTAATTTCTCGAAAAAATTTTCACCCTCAACTAATTTATGAGCATGACTACTAAGATTTACTATACGTGCTGGTTGTGAAGCTTTAATTTTTTCTAATAATAAATTAGTGAAAAGCTAGCAATACAAACAAAGCTTTGTTATTATGAATTTATTATTTAATTTAGTAATAATTCATTTGCTTTTACTTACAAAATGTCCGACATGATTTACACCAAATTCCTCTTGAATTCCTTCCTCAGTAAGTGAAAATTTACTATTTTATCATATTTAAATTATTTATTCGAAATATTCTTATACCTACAAGTAAAACTACAAATGAAAAAAAAATTATATTTTTATCATTATTACTTACGATGTCGTGACTCCCGCATTGTTAATTCTGATAAAATAAACAATCAATTAGGTCAATATAGAGTAAATTTGTAAATCTTAAATTACTAATAATTCATAATAATAGGACTTACAGAATATGCAATGGTAAATTCCTAGCCAAGAAACTTTCGGCACATTCATGAACAGATTTTAAACTTTTTAAATCCAATTTTAGAAATTCAACATTCTGATTACCGGTCTCAGATTTGATTTTTTCAACGGCAGCCTGACCTTTCTCGACGGTACGACTTAATACAAACACATGAGCATTTTGTCTGGCCAATTCCCTACAGGTAGTATATCCTATCCCGTTATTTCCTCCTGTAACGACTGCAACCTAGAGATATAAAAAAAATTTAATATGTTAATATTTTAAATTTCAATTAATCGGATGATCAGATGATAATAATAATCTAATTACTTTTCCAGTCAAATCGGGAATTTTATCGAAAGTAAAATGCTTTACTTCAGGCACTTTAACTATCCATTCTAAATCTGACATTTTGTTGAGAAATCAATTGAGCGTATAATTGAGTGGACAATTGAGTGGAAAGGCATATTTATAAAGTCTTCTCAATTACAAATAAAGTTCTACGGATCTAGATGATTTAACCAATAGTCATTGATATATCGCTCTTGTGTAATACACGGACGTACGTACAATTTCGGGTATATACAGAAATGATTATAAAATAATACTGTAATACAGAAATTAGAAGATGCCAAGTGAAAATCTTTAACTGGACTTAATTATTTTCGTACTATCGATATATATGGAAGGATAATATATACAGAAATGATTTTGTACAGTACAATAGAATTAGAGATAATGATAAACTTTAGATTAGAATCAAGGATATAATAGTAACGATAAACGTAGATTAAGAAACCATGATAAAATAAATTCAAAGATTAACGGTAAAAGAGTTTAAAGAAAAGATAGAAGCAAATACATTAAAAGAGAATTACACAAAATAAAAATAGTGTTCTTTCATTAATATTAATAAAATTTTATCGGAAATAAATTGACTTATCCACTTAAACCACACAGCGGGCAAATTTACTCACTAAAATTTTTATGACCCATTTTTGTACAATTTTCGGAGGATTCGTATGGTTTGCTGATTGCACAGGTAACTTATTTATGCACTTTAAAGCAGGGATGGCAAATGACCTGA